AAATAAACCATAGACTGCATTTGACCGTGGAGATGAAGGGAAAGTTGGAGATTATAAATTCGAAGTGGTTTCTGAACCGTGCATGGACCTTCGTCTATTCTTTGACCATTCACATGCTGAGATTCAACATTTAGCCTGTTATCAGTGGGTACATAGTCTAAAATGTTTGAATACCAGTTAGCAAAAAGAGAAAACAAAGTTGGTTGACTGATTGATGGAGATACATGCTATATAAGCTAACTTTGTTTCCACATTTGTAGGTGAGTCATAAAATGGATCCAAATGAACTAGTCAAGCTTATTGACATTCTTAACCCTCAAAATAGACCAGGAAGGATTACAGTAATCGCCAGGATGGGAGCTGATAACATGAGAGTAAAGCTTCCCCATCTGATCAGGGCTATTCGTGGAGCTGGTCAAATTGTCACTTGGGTCAGTGATCCTATGCATGGAAATACTACTAAAGCCCCTTGTGGACTCAAAACACGTTCATTCGACTCTATTCGGGTATTGATGCTATTCTACTTATTTTATATACCTGTACAAGAACTTGCTTTATGCTCTCGTGGTATGTACGCTATGCTGTATTTTTTCACAAAGATTTATCCACTTACCTTGGCAATACAAGGGAAGTATATCTCAACTCTTGAAGTATTCAAGAAACTATAGCAGAAGATCTAAGTAAATATACGGCAAGAAAGTAGTTGATGATAAGATCTAATAAACCCTTTACTAATACAGCAAATATTGTGAGCTTATGCTCTATATTCCTACCAACTAGACTATCCTAGTGAATATTTTTTCGCTTATGTGTTGATTGCATATATCTGTGTAGGCTGAGGTTCGAGCATTCTTTGATGTACACGATCAAGAAGGTAGCTATCCTGGTGGTGTGCATCTGGAGATGACAGGTCAGAATGTAACGGAGTGTGTTGGAGGTTCTCAGACAATTACTTACAATGATCTGAGCTCGCGCTATCATACACATTGTGACCCAAGACTCAATGCTTCTCAAGCACTTAACTTGCCTTTATTATTGCGGAGCGCCTCAGGAAAAGAAGACTGGGTCCTAAGTTTGGGTTTTAGAAAACCGATCTTACTCCCCTTTCACTAGTGTTTGCAGTTTGTCTCTGTATCTGGAGATAATTGAATTCTCTTTGTATTCCCTAATCCCAACCCAAAAATGGCTCTGACAGCAGCCACCGCCGGCGGCAACAGGGGTGGCTCAGCCCTCCCCAATTCGTGCCTTCAAGCCCCAAAGCCTGCACCGTTACAGAAACCCATCTTCTTCTTCCTTTCCCAAAATAACAATCCCGTCAAACTCCAAAATCAAACCAAGAATCAAACCCATCTCAAACTTAATTAAGACTTAAAATTTGATATATTTAGATTAAAGACTATAAAGAATCTTTAGAAATATATTTAATAATCAACTATTCAAAAAATTAATTATTTAGTAAATTTAACGAATAATTTTTTATCGCGCAAAGCGCGGCTAAGTTCAATGATACCAATTTTGTCACCAAATGGAAAATAAAAATTCTTGGATTAGTACTAAGTAGGCCTACCTTCCTTTAATGTTTTTGTTACATTTGAACCAAATATTATTAACTTAAATTATACAACTGGAGCTGTTATCACGTTATTATCAAACGTATTATTTTGCTCATATAATAATGTACTATAAAGTTGTTAACTCTATATATGCATGATAATGCTACTTCTAAATGATTCGTTTATACTAACCAAGTCACTCTCTGACCGACGTCTTATGGTAAATACTAATTAATTAAAACATTATCTTAGGAATCTAATTATATTATTATGGTGATAAATAAATGAAAAGGACAAGCAAGGGAGACTTAAAATCATGATTGAAACAAGTCCTTTTCCATCCAAAAGCTAATAATGAATTCAACAATATTAAAATTTAATATAGCTTTCTAGAGGATATATAGTTGGTAGATGACATAACACTGGTGGCCTTCAGAATTATTGATATGCTAAAGTGATCATTCGAATCAAATATTACTGATAATTGGAGTGCTAAGTACTCATATATAGTTTTATCAGAAATCTCAAATTTTCATTTATATGAAATCGTTTCTGTTAGAATTTTTTTTTAAAAGATTTAAATATTAATATTTCTTTGAAATGGCACTATAGGTCATGTGTTCGAATCGTATCATTAGGATAAGGTGCCATACACCCACAGAATGACAATTGACAAAGAAAAAAAATTAATTAATTATAAGTTAGGCACCTCAAGAATTTGTTTGAATTTCCTTTCTTATTCTGATTTTATATAATAATTGTGTTTTTTTTAAGGAAAAATAGTTTGTTGTTGAAAAAAAATTATTTGGTCGAAAATAACTTAATTATATATTTCCTTTTCTTGGATGAAGATTTTTGAACTTCTATAAATAATATATTTTTACTTTTCACAAATAAAACAGAAACATGTGTGATATATAGTTGTTATTAAAAGAGTCCTGTTCAGAGATTATAGAGATTTTCTTTCATTAGTTTTATGCCTATTTTTATGATGTAGGTCAATCGATCAAATCATATTAAGAATACGCATTTTAAGCATCTCTTTTCTTTTATGATGATCTAATTTATCATCGTTGAAGGTTTATAATCGTTAATTTTTACATTATGTCTTATTAATTATATCGATACCAACAATTCATTTCATACAATAACATATTCAGTATGATTCCATAAATAAAGTTTAAAAAAAATAATATTTATATAGATCTTATTCTATTCGTATCGAATAGACATACTTCTAATAGATTATTAGCTCAAAAAATATAATAATAAAGTAAAAATATGAAAATAAAATAACGTCAAACTAACAAAATATAAAACGAATAAGACAACATAATGTATCATGCAAAGATCACGAGGCGATTACAAAATAAACCTAACCATCTTCATTTATTTGTTAGGCACCTAAAGGAAATTTTTCCAATTTATTATTCGTGAAAGAATTATGTTTCTCAATAATTATTTCTTCGAAAGTCATAATTCAGTTGGTATTCAATCATTTTTCTGTCTTATCCATGTTATTCACGGAGTCAGTTTTGATAAATATTAATATTCTTAGCCACATGATTATTTACCACTTCTATTTATTTATTAATTATTATTTTTGTTCTTGTGTTACCTTTTTATACTATTCGTATTTAGATTTTAATCACTTGGGGTTTGAATTTAAAAAAATGAAAAATCGAAAAACTGTTCACATTTAGTTATTTCATTATGATTTAGTTTATTTCTTACGTTTGGAGGATATCTATAATTGATATACCTTTAAATATTGTGTTTTACGTTATACTTATGATTTATATTAAAAGGTATATTTAAGAAATTCAAATATATATAATTTTTAAAAAATTGTAAATATAACTTTGTTATGTCTTGTTATTGACATAACCGATTAATCAAACTGAAAAAAATCCAAACCAAAAAGATAAAAATTAAATCAAACAAAATTTATTTTGGTTCGAATTGAATTACACTTCTTCAAAACCAAAAACACAGAACCCTAGATCGACTAATATAAAATTGAACCGATAAACCGAATGCACATCCCTACAATCACCCGTAACCAAATAATTATAAATTGCCGTTCATAGTTCATACACCTGTAATTTTTTCAGAGAATCATATAGTTATTTTTACCTGACATTTTTTTTTCTAATAATAATTGTTTATTGGTGTGAGTACGCAATTATTTCAATACTATAAAAAAAAATTATATTTCATTATTCGATTATAAGGCAGTAGCAAACTTTAGTTATAATGATTGTAAAGTTAGAATTTCACCTCCAACTATTATTCCTCAAAGTAAATTCTACATGACATAACATATATTTATCACAATTCAAATCAAAATTTCCTAAATTCACGGTATTCAACTCACGTTAACTAATATATATGGCCATGAAGACCATATCTAGCTAGATTATCTTATTTTTGAGTGTGTCTCTCTTCATGTAATGTATGTAACAAGGTAAGTGTGGTACACTGAGCCCTATGTGATCATTCTATCATCTTTATACTCTATTCGTCGAACAATAAACTCGAATATCAAATATCAAATTAAGTTAGTTCATAAATATCATTAACATAATGTGATATGAAACGATATTACACCTTTTATGTAGTTTCTCAATTCTTTTTTTTCTTTTTGCTATTAATTTATGTGTTATTCATATTGATCTGTCACTGATCATGACCACATAGTCTCTATAGATAGATATTGAACAATAAATGTTACTTGCTGGACTATGCAAATTGCAATGATCCTTCACAAGCTAAACTGTAAACTAAGTCATCCTAATAATGGTGATAATGAAGTCACACGTTTTGAAAATGACATATCATATAGTTTTAGACGATTTATATCTTTATTCTAATCTTAAATTCAATAATTTATACTTTGATTAATATAAATATAATTGGGAGGCCATTTAAAATAGACCCTCCAAAGAAACCAAAACAAACTCATGGGTCGACTTGACCTAATCATTATACACGTGTCATGGAGAAAAGCCTCAGTATTTCAAAATGTCATGGATGTCATTCTCTCTATTCGGAACAATATTTAAATAAAAAATTTAATATATATATATATATATATATATATATATATATATATATATATATATATATATATATATATATATATTTATTTATTTATTTATTTATTTTTTTTTAAAAAAAAGAAGAACCACCAATAAAAAAATTGAAAAAAATTCGAATCCTTCCTATCAATGTTCACCATTGACTTTGAAGTCGCAGTCTGAAATGATAAATTCTAAAGAAAAAGATAAAATTTTATAGTTAAACAATAAAATATCAATGCTTATACTATTTTTATTTCGTATTATAAGAAATATTAGTTAGCTAGAAACTTTTCGATAACAAATGATAAAATTACATTTGCTAATTCTATATTTTCTAGTAGTACATCAATTAGATCATGTATGTAATTTATTATTATGATGATTTGGTGATAAATTGATGCAAAAATATGCGTTAGTTGTCCATGATTGAGTAGTAAATATTTGTACGTAAAAAACACACGTCATGCTATTTATACTAGTAAGCAATATAATATTTTCTCCATTCGAAATTATTTATCATGTTGTTTTTATTTGAAAGTCAATTTGACTAATTTTCAAAGTTAAATTAGATCATATTAATTTTATATTTTGGACAAAAAAAATTAGATATTCTAAAACTATATGAAAAGTATTATAAATTGCAAATTTTTGCATACTAATATGATGAAAAATTACATCTTAAAATATTAATTTGAATCTAAAAATAAAAATTGACAAACAATTTCGAACGGAGGGAATAGACGGTAGTCCTTAGGGAAATTATTGAAAGGAAGGAGAGGTTTTTTCAATTAATGCCTAATTCTTGGTTAGTAGGTCCACTTCCCTTCCATTATTTGTTCATTGGAATGTATGTCATCCAATCCAAATTTTATTTACCACACCATTTTCTGGTATGGCAAGTAATACCATGATTTTATAACTCAAATAAATTGTGAATAAGAAAGTACTAAATATATATAAGTTCTTTGCAAAAAGTTTTTGTTTTCAAGAAGTCATCGATCTCTTGTAATTGTAGGCAGACATTAGATGAGAGAAACCATCTAACTTGTCATTAGATAGTCTAACTGTGAGTGTTCTGTTATTATTAATATACATCGATTTACGGTGAGTTTTATGGTTTAATTATACATCGTGTTCAAGACTTGAATAATCCATATATGTACAAAAATAGACATAAAAAACTTACTGACTCTGAATAATTAATTTAATTTTTCTCAAACTTGTTATCATTATAATGGTTTCCCCTTTCTCATTAGTCATTTGTAACTTTTGCTTTTTTGGATAATCTTCCCTATCAATTACTATAATTTAGTTTTTTTTTAAAAAAAATACTTATTTGTATCATTTTTCTTTTATTGATTTGATTCTTCCAATCAATACATTATAAATCAATTTAATTGACTTTAAGTATCACAAAATGACAAGAAAATAATATGTGAAATAGAATAAGTTTTATGGACAGAATTCCACCAAGCTCCAATCATGAATTCCACACACCATATACAAAGAAAAAGACACGAAGATAACAAAACATCATTTGCCTTTATAATTCCTTTGGTGAACACATATAGTCAATAATTCCCACGGCATTATTGTTTCATTACGATATACAACTATATAGTTTAAAAATCGTTTGGTTGATTAGGATAACGTTGCGTACAAAACACA